CCACTGTCCAGATTCATTAGATCCAAGGGTCACTTTCATAATCCACCATCGCAATATAATGCCTTATGTTTTTCTGCCTAGGTGGTTCTGGTCAAATTGTCATCACAAGTTATTACCCTTAAGTCTAATAAATTCTGAAGACGTAGGTGGTTGATACTGTCATTTGAGGACAAGAAATATTTGTCTAGACGTTTGATCCAATCTGTATTTTTATTTAATGTGTAATTGGCGAGAAAATAGCAAAGGCAAATTTAAATGCTTGCATCTCTAACCTTGTCAGAGTGTCTGAGCATTCATTCATCATCATTATCTTGGATTCCTGCAGCCAGCAGACTTCATAGGAAAGCAAGCACTGAAACAGATTAAAGCCAAGGGGCTGAAACGGAGACTGGTCTGCCTCACCTTGGCAACGGATGATGTTGATCCGGAGGGAAATGAAAGCATCTGGTACAACGGGAAGGTGAGTGCTGAGGGCCTCGCCCCTGAGGGCCACGGCATCTTCTGCAACCGAACTCTCCTTGTTCCTGTCTTCTTTTAGAATCCTTTGCTATTTAATTATTTATGGGAGGGATGACATACTTTTGATTTCTGAGCTGACACTCAAGAAATAGAAAGCAGTTAACTGAAGGAAAATGAAATGCTGCTCATTTTCAAAAAGATAAAATCTGGATGCTTTGTTTAAAGCAAATATGAGGGGACTTCAAAAGGCCCATAGAAAAATGGAATTTAAATTATAAGTGTATTTTGGCACAAAAAAATTAAACCCATGCATATTTTTTTCATAATATGCATTTTCATGAGCTTTTTGAAGACTCCTCATGAACCCAGGGACTAGAAATACATTGGAAAATGAGGAAGGGAATGATTTAGAGGATAAAATGATTTATTCACTCACCATATCCATATCTGTGCATACCAAAGATGGATTTTATAAAGACTTGGCATTCTGCTTTAGCTTCTCAGGGATCTTTCAGAAGGAAGCAATTAGCATATTAGGGAACAAACTTCCAAATGTAAACATCTGTGACAACAGAGGATATACTTCAGAAATTAAATTGAAAGTGGAAACCATGTGGCTCTTCAGAAGGACTTCAGTTACCTTTTCTCACTTTCGAATGTACCATTTTGTTCTGTTTATAGTCAGTAACAACTGGGATGGTCAGATAACCTTTCCATGGAATTCCCTTTTCACCACATCGTGTAGTTGTTCATGAAACCCATTTGGTCCAACATTTGGGGGTGTCCGACCTCTGCTTCCTTCTCCCGGTGGGCTGAGTTTGCTCTTCTGTTTAAACTGTTCCTACTCCCCCCACCGTCCTCCCTTCCTGGTCCTATTCTGTATCTCTGACGCAGTCTCCTTCTTAATGTACGTTGCTCCTCCAATTTCAAGTTTGCCCCCAATTTACCTGATTTCTGTTATTAGCCATCTCTGCCATTCACGAATGGCCTGTCCAGCGCTGATGAGCTCCTGGGAAAGTAAGGTCCGGTTGGGAGCTAGGCAGCGCTGGAGGTGGGGCTATCATTTTAATTAAGGTTGAATTCTGTTAAAAATTCAGGCATAAATATGGTTATAAGAAGAGCTTTCACTCTATTGGGTAGCTTAGTTATAAAAGCAACTTAGCTGGAAGGGAGGTTTAAGAGAAGAGGTTTGTGGGACCATCTGGAGAGTTTAGAAGATTTTCTTGTTTATTGTTTATAAACACAACACATTCACCAATTTTAATTATGTTGCCTCCTTCAAAGGCCACGTATAACATTATCTTCTGTAAGTCCCTTAGAGACATCTCTAATCCAAGAGAGGAATGAGAAAGGCTAAAACTAAATGAGGATTATTTATATTGGTAAAAATGTCAATATTTGATTTAACAAAGAATGAGCATCTACTAGGAAGAGGGTGGGGCCAGGTTGCTCTTAAGTTCACTGAGTAAAAAGGAAGGAATGGATCTCATTGAACCTGGGAAATCTGAATGTAGGACTGTTACAAATGTATCCTGGGGTGGGAGAGCAGCTGTATAGTGCAGTGGTAATAAGCCGCTCAAGAAAAGCCAGATCCCACATGACGACCTCAGTTCCAATTCCCGGCCTGAGCAGCTTGAAGCACACCTGGCACGCGTGCAAATGCCCAGCTGAAGGGCTGGCCTGGAGGACGGGGATTACAGGGTGACCAGACCTTAGAGAAGATGCCTCTCTCTTTCTCTCAGGCGTGCACATAAATACTCTATCATGAATTTTTTTAAAAAAAAATTAAAGCGTATGCTAGAGAAAACCTTTCTCTGGAGATTTGGTAATAAGATAAAGCGAAAGTCCAACTTTTAAAATTATACCCTGAGCTATTAACCACTGGCTTAGAGTGAAGTCAAAGTACAGTCGAAACTTTCTAGCAGAAAGCGAAGCCTGTTTTTAAAATAGCACTTACAAAATGAGTAGTCTCCTTTTCTAGGTTACTAATGCAGGAACGACTGCTCGGCAAATCACAGCTGAGCTATCAGGAGACGGAGTCTGAAGAAATGGTGTCCAGGGAGAGTGTGGGCTTTTGACCTAGTGATTTAGAGGCTGGCTCCCAGACGGTCGTGCAGCTCCCTGCCTCCTTTTCTGAGATGCCCAGGCAAACCAGGTTAATGCTGCCATGACTTCAAACCTGAATCTCTGTCCTACAGACTGGGAAGTGAAACCCAGGTTCCCAAGAAAGTCTTTCACAAAGCTGTGGGTCCAGGTGAGGCTGCCCAGGTTGCTGCAAGAGACAGGCCACGTGGAAGGCCTAATTAGGCTCCCACACCAGCCTGGCCTCCTGCTGGCCAGGAGGCTGGAGCAGGCGGGTGGAA